CCCACGGAGGGACCGCCCGGGCTCCCCCCCCCTCCGCGTGTCCGTGGGCCGCCGACGCGTTGTTCAAGCTTGAAAGGGGTGCTGCCAGCCCGCCCTCGCTCTTGCAGCGCTTTTTCTCTGGGCGGGAGGGACGAGAGAACACGGAGCCACCAAAGAAACCGGAATGTGTTCTGCCTCCTCCCCTCCATCCCTTCCTCCCAAGTTTTCCCGTGCCCGTATTCCAGGGGAGCCGATGGTCTGCCTCAGGCGGCGGGGACCGTGTCCCCGCGTGTGCCCCAGCGCCGTGGCCGTGGCTGTACCGTGAACCGAGTCACTTTTAACACAGCTTGCTACACGCCAAGGCCGCCGTGTGCTCCTCCGTCTCAAACCTTCCCCCTCTAATATCCCGCAGATTAACTTCTCCCCGTCTCTGACGTTATCGAAATGTAGACACCCTTCCTCAGACCTGGTTCTTAAACTGTGGCTTCTCTGAACTTTTTTTTCCCCTCCCGAAAAAATCCAAGCGCGCTCTCACACTTTTTGTGCTAACTGGTTCTCAAACTGTGGCTCGTCTGATGTTTTTTGCAGAACAAGACAAGCTGTCTCTCATACTTCTTGTGCTAACCCCGCCCCCCGAAATCTCGTGGGACAATTTTATCTGCTACCCTAAAGTAAAGAAGTGTTGAGTTTTGATTTTTTTTTTTCTTCATAGATTTCCAAACGCTTTTGTCGCCCTTCGGTTTCCAAGTTCACACGCTTTATATTCAAAGGTTGGAAATAAACCTTTTCAGAAAGCTGAAATGCATGCCTTTTCAATAGTTACTACTAGGCAGTATCAAAGGAAAGAGATTGCCTAGAGTGCATCGAAGGTTTTAATTTGAAAAAATAAAGGTTAAGAGCACAATCGTGGCATTACGAAATTCACCCGCGTGTGCGAAAACGGGCAACTTGTCGAGTTTCCCAGCGGGAAAAACAGCATAGGTGTTTCGGCTAGATAAGAACGTACTTTTTCTTTCCTTTCCCTACTCTTGTTCCATTTCTCTTTCCGTGGGCAGTTAATACAGATGTGCGACGAGCCCGCGCGCAGATGCGTGGGCCAGCCCGGCGAGGAGACCCCGGGGCAAGCGGGAGCCCGGCGGCTCAAAGCCGCTTTTGTCATTTATTTCCCGGCCGGGAAAGGGGCTGCTGCAGGGGCTGGCGGCGGGGGTAATGCAGCCGGGGAGCCGGTGCCAAGGCAGCCCCTGCGCCAGCCGAGCTCTGGAAAGCGGCTCCAGCGGCTCTGCGAAGTTTTCTCACGGTTGCGAGGATGTGGGAGCGTTGTTTGACCTCTCCTCTCGCTTTTTAATCGGTCTCGAATGAGTGTCAAGTAGCAGGAGGAGTCTCACAGGGTGCCCTTGCGCTGGAAAAAAACCCAATGTTATCGAGGCTGTTGCAAGGGGAGTCTCATGAAGTGGACACGCCGAAGGGGACCTGCCGGCTGCCCTTCTCAGCTCAGGTTCCCCAAACTGCAGCTCCCGGGAAGGTGCAGGAGACGAACGAACAGTTTGGGCCACACGACCCACCCTTCTTTTGTGATCTGACTTTATCATGGTAGTTAAAGAAATTAAGGTCCTCTGAGTCCGCCAGTTACTCCGTAGTTAAAACCTTTGGAGACGCATCGAAGCGGTGATGTCCTTATTTCCAAGGGTGATGTGATGTGGTTCGTGTTTGCCTATATCTGCATAACTGATGATCTATATCGGAACTTCCCTTTGGTTATTACTTCTAATATTTCCAATGTCGACACACTCTTACTTGATTACTGCCACGAGATTAATCAATACCGATAAGAGGCAAATCCGCCTTTTTCGAAATCCCTACCAATGGAATTTTGACCAGATGCAGCAGATATACACTAAGGTCCCTTTCTTTAGTTGTTTAACACGGAACTAAAATTCATTTAAAGCAACTGCTCTTCCACATAATTGCAGCCTTAGATGTCTCCGTGATGAAAGGTAATTATATAGGAAGTAGCTATTCGGCAATTAATCTACTTTTCACCTCCTTTATCAAACCCTTTTCAGTCTTATTTTTCTCTCCATTTTATCAATTTGCCATCAGAATTGTTTGTGGAGTTACAGAGGCAAGTGAAGGAAAATCGGACCCCCAAACAGAAGTGAGTTATTTTATAACAAAAACAACAGAAAGAGATTTTCTGCATGCCGTAGTTCCAGTGCATAGTCGAATTTCACAACTTGCTGCCGACCAACTCCAAAGCTACGATCATTAGAAGTTAATGTTGCCATCGGTGAATGTCTCAAACAGCCGGGTAGCTGGAGAAAGTAAATAACCATCCCGAAATATTCGTTCCCCATCAAGATATAACTGCTGGTTTTGAGTTCATTGTCTAAAAATATTAACCAAACTGTTGCTACTCAGTGTAACACAGCCAGTGGCAAGGTGGCTTTCTCTGAAGAAAACCAAGTTCACGATATTTCAGGATTCCCAGCTGAGCAGTCAATGCTGATCACACTGAATATTGCTGACATTTTTTTTAGAGCTTAAAACAATTGCATTTGCAGTTATAAATCGCTCCTTACTACAACAGATTGCTACTCGCCACCGTACAGCAGTCGATTAGTAGTGGCTAACCAGCAGATAGGTTAGAAAGATGGGAGACTTTAAAAAAATGAAACAAACTGGAACGAAACTAAACAAAAAACCTTCTGTAAGAGCTTGAAAACAGTTTGAGAAAAAAACCCACAACCCAAACAAACAAAAACAAAAGCCAAAAAACCACAAACCAAAACCCAAACAGTGCTAGAACTGATTAGTTGCTGGAGCTGAGATTTAAAAACGTGCTATTAAGGGTTGACATGATGAAAAGAGATAGTACAGCTGGATGAGAAGCGGGTGGAAGACACAACGTGCCTCTATATTGAAGGGATTCGCTAATAAAAGCTCATATACAGTGCTGCAGTGGTTGTTTGGTGTTTGTTTTGGGTTTTTTTGGTGTGGGTTTTTTTTTTTTTTTTTTTTTTTTTCATTAGAAGAATAGCTAGAGGCCCTACCTGTGCTGGGAGATCCCTTGTGTTAGGCGTGGCACATGCATAATGACAGGCTGCCCCAGAATACTGTATGAACTGAATAGAAAAGAAAGATACAGCTAAGACCTGGCCCCTGAACCTTCCAAAAGAAAGATCGTAATCAAACACAACCTTTCTCAACAGGAAAATATATTTGAAAAGCTGTTGGATACATACATAAATGCACTGGATACATACATAAATGCATTGCTCATGAAACAGTGCAATGCAGGGGCTTAGAAGAGCCGCTCCATCTCTCTTTCCTCCATCTCCACCTCATCTCTAAAAGCCCCACATGGCTGATCGTAAGTGCAGCAGCTCGAGGCAACTTGATTTGCATTTCACCTGTGATGTTATAAAATTCCCTGGGATTAGGATGATCAATCACACTGCTGCATGTGGCAGCTTTTCTTGTTGAAGAGCATGCCAAGAATTAGAAGACCCAATTATTTCTGCTGGAGAGTAACCCGCCTCACTTGTCTGCTCTGGTGGAAGGTTTTGCAAAACTCCCCTAGGACTGGTTTCCCCCTGGAGTCTCCTGCTCAGGAGGCTGAACCAGGCATTTGCTACTGTTTTGTTAGCTTCAACAACCCTGCTAATTGGCCTTCTGCTCCTTATCAGGCTGGTGCTCACCTCCACAAGGTGAGGGAAGGTATGGTACAGACTATAGGGAGAAAAGTTACTCAGCACAGCTCTTTGGCCGTGCCAGGGGTTAATCTAGAGTACAGAAAACTCTCCTGCTTCTTCTCCCCTGCTCCTGGATTTGCTACTTTTTTCTTTTTTATTTGGTTAACCTGAAATGGTAGCTTGTCTTTTCTTTCCTTTTTAAGGAAAGGCTTGAACTTACTACACCTTTAGTATGTTCATAAGCAGAAGTAGGGCTTCATCTGCCTAGAGGAAGGCTTGCAGCATTACCCCAAAATGTAGTAATTTTTCATGTTCTGCAAAGAAGCCACCACAGATTTACATTAGTGGCATTAGCAGAGAGAGAAGAGTCACAGCCTTATCTCGCAGGGGAGACTCCTTTGAACCTAGGCAAGCTTAAAATTTAAGGAAGATAAAAATTCATCATAGTATCAGGGAAAAGGCACAACGTTGATCATCCAAAATCACCACGAAAAAGAAAAAAATCAGCTTGGAGGGAGACACAGCAAAAATGCTTTCTGTGCATCTTCTGTACAGCGGGGTCCAGCTGCACTTTTTTCTTGAAAGCCAGTAGTCTCTCTTCTCTACCTCCTCATGTGAATGTATGCATTGCGCTCATTTTGCAGGTTACACCTGGGCTGGGCCTGATTCTGCTTTCCCTTACAAACACATGATTAGAAGGCAAGGATGTGACCTCTAGAATATGTTTGACTTAAAGCTGGATTTGTCAGATTGAGTCCTTAAGATCTTTTCCTTTTTAAAGTATGTGAAGTAGTAATATCCTCATACTTATGATGTGAAATAGTAACCATATTGAAAAAATGGGATATGGATTTACTGGAGAGGCTTGGAAAAGGGTGAAACTCACTGTTCCATGCATCTACTTTTGCCTTGACACTGATGTTGAACACACTCTTACATCATGAGATGTGATTGCCAAGCAGTCCATCTGTCACTTTAAAGTAAAGATCATACATAAATTGCTTAAAAGAAAAACCTGGAAACCGTCTATTACTAAAAATAAAGGCCACCAAACAGTATAGGATCAGGAATATCTATCTTATGTCCCATTCTGTGTTGCAGTACCTGGGAAATGCTCTGCGCCTAAAAGAAGGAAGCCTTTTATTTCGGAGAAGAACTTAACTCTAGAGAAGGCAGTGTGTTCTGGAATGGGAAATGGTGACTGCAATATAATCAGTGCACAGAGGGGAGAATCATACCTGCCCCTTCTCTGTTC